ATTATTATTACTAATTATTATTATTATTATTATTATTATTATTATTATTATTATTATTATTATTATTATTATTATTATTATTATTATTATTATTATTATTATTATTATTTGTTAATTATTATTATTATTTATTACTATTATTCATTATTAGTGCACACATAGAGACCAGCCACGATTTTGTCCACTGATTGAAAGGTAATTATTTCCTGAATCTGCCCCCAAATCGGATGTACTCTTCCCTGCAACCATTACTCCACATAACTTCGTCGCTATCCTTTCCTTTTGGTTAACAATCTTGGATGCTTTTCGCGCTGAATAAAACCACCACAATAATCTAATAAATTTAAACATTTTGAACATTTGAACATATGTTTGCTTAAAATTTGTGCTCATTCAAAGGAACGTTTTCCAGAGTGGCGCTTTCCCCCAGATTCATGCTAATCATCTTTTGTCTTTGCTCTTTTTTGTTCCGCGAAGAAATTTTCATCGATATCGACAGAATTCCAATTCTGGGCCTTTTCGAAATAGTTGCAATACAATTATTATAAATTTCCAACAAATATCTCGAATGGGCTGCCGTGTTTTAAGCTTTCGAACTATCACTTTTTCCATCAAAGAGGAATACCATTCACATTTCAAAGATACTGTTTGATAAATCAGTTGATATAGGCAAAAAAGTGGCGATAGTTTCGGGTGAAGAAACTTATTAGAATTTGAAAAACAAATTGCACATTATTATTCAGCTCAAATTGTAAAACTAGATGAAAACTCTTGATACTCATTATGGCTTAAACCCCTTACTGGAAAGGCAGTTAGTAATCACAATTTCATTTTTCATTCAGTGGTCTATATCACCATTAGGCAGAGTAAATAGTCTTATCTGTCAATGCTTCAGAAGTTACTTTTTACTTAAATTCATTCCTTTAAAAGTTCGAAGACAAGACAAACCCAAGTCATGTCACCACATAACTTTGGAAGACGCGCCAGAATACATGCGCTAGATTTTGCAATAAAGTAACAATGGTAACAGAGATGATAAATAACAAATTTTTCATTCGAAAAAAAAAACTCATATACTGCCAACCCGCAATTTGTCATTACTTTCTAAGCAACCGTGCTCTCTTTCCGAATGTCCATACAACCAATACAACCAATGATTGGCAGTGATTTTAAACGGACGCAGACAAAGGAGTATAAAAACTTTTTCTTGTTCATGGTTCAACATTGAGAACTATTTGACACCTATGAGCGCATAGAATAAGAACTAAAGCGGTGGATTTTATTTCAGTTTTACTCTTACCGTAAAGAAAATTTGTGAGCCGAGATTCCATAATATACATTCCACAAATCAGTAAGTAATACATAAAACCAGAGAAATGACCGTATAAAAAATGAAACAGAGATTTACCATTAAAAAAAACAACGTATAAATACACTATCGGAGTGGGATAAACTGATACAAAGCACTGTTTCTAAACTTGAATGCCCATTCACAAGTGCAGAGAACATCGAAAACAATAAATATTCCTCAAAATACACGAAATGACACAAATCATACGTAAATGAATCATGGTAAAGAAATTATCAAAAGAAGGACAAGTGCACAGCTGTAGATAACCAAAAGAAAAAAGCTACCAATGATAAGCAAATTGGCATTCCCACAAATAAAGTGGCGCAGAAGACTCTCTCTGCTTTACGGACTGCGATCAAAAGGCAGTGTGAAAAAAGTATGAGATGATTAGGTAGGAAGAGTTTTCAAAGAGTGTCAGGAATTATGTAAAACCATCCGAACTTTAACTAGCAAAAATTAAATGATCAAATCAAAGTGGTAAGCAAAAAAACGAAATTATGTATGTCGCAGAGGCGGAGCAACAAGTATAATGGCATCACCTCGAACAAACAGCATCGGTATCTGACGTTTCGTCTGTTTATGCATTTCTTCAAAATTTTCTTCGTCCAATTCAACGGTGGTTACTGTCTCTTCTACTTGAGATAATATCATGTTTAAATGTTGATCAAACGCATGCAAACGACCTCGGACCTGGAAATTCTATATGCTTCTTAAAATCACAAAGCACCATTGGAGTAATGACTACCGGCAGTAGAATGACAAAAATCTGCGTTGTTAAACTTAAACTTGAAGTTGACCACTATCAAAGCTTGTGTTTTCTTTTGTACAATCAACATCCAGAGGAAGAACTACCACAAGGAGACTTAAACTGACCAAGAAGACTGATCAAAACCATAACTATGTGCAACAAATTCAGAGAAAACCATTACCACTTCAATAAAGGGACCCGAAAAAAGAAATAAAATTGAACTTCTATTCCTGTACTACTCCTGCATCAGATAACTAGTCTTCAGAAAAGCACTTCTGAACATCTTCATGAATTACTGTTTGAAAAAACAAAAATACTCCAAACCTCACGATCATTGCGCATTTTCACATAAATCCGTTCATCTAAACTTAATCGAATTAAATCCAATGGTTCTTCTACACCTGTGCTCACCACCTATAAACATAACTTGCAGACTAATACCAGTAATTCATAAGTTTAAATTGCTATCAGCTAAAAAGGCAAGCAAAAATAAGTACGATATGGCACGAAGTAACAAACGAGCTCGCAAGGCACAGTATGGGAAAAATTACATTTGTTTGTCCCTGCTCTGTTGTCATTCTAAATAGTGCTGGCAGCAAACTTTCTGCAAACCACTAAATAAACATGGATAAATAAAATATCAAAACAGTGCATTAAACGATCTTCAAAAAAACCCAAGAGTCAATAATTAATCACTTGAAGAATATCGGAAAATCCGAGCAAATTTTGAACATAATTTCCACAATAAAACAAGAAAAACGATACGTAAAAACGACAAGAGATATATGTAGCCTTATATTTAAAAAAAAAAGATTTATGTAACCTTTATACCAGTAAAAAATCGACATACCAATCTGTGATATCTCTGCAAAATTGTAATGAACAAAACATATATGCAACCTTTATATTAAAAACATAGCAAAGTATATGATTTGTAGTACCACTGTAAAATTATAATAACAGATATCAACGTAAAATTATCGGCAATATATGTAACCTTTATATTAAAAACACAGGAACACGTATAATCTGTAATATTTTGTAAAATTGTAATAATCAATAGATATATGTAACTTTTACATTAAAAACACACCAACATACACAACCAAACATGAACCACTCAGAAAGAAGCTCACATTTCAATTCTTTAAAGGACAAAAGTAGTTAATTTCTTGAAATTTATCCTGTAATACACTGGTTTACATTTGGGATTTAGAATCCAAAAAATTGGGAAAAAGAGGAAGTGTACCAAAGACCACTGCAAATATTTTCCTCAACAATACCAAATGATCCTTTACTTGCAATAAATTTGTGCGATCAAATTTATAAATTTATGGGAAAAGTAATTTTTCCAGTTCTTAGTGAGAGCTCAGCTCACTTGAAGCTCTATTTCTTATTGCGGATATAAAAAAATTTCACTCTCTTTAAAAATAGGATATAGTGTTAAAGATGAGATGGGGTTTAGCTCCTCGGATAATATCAATTCATATCGAATAGTAGTCTACAGTACTAATGGATTCAAAAAATAATGCGCAGCATAACGTTCATATTTTGGCGACGTCAGACACAGAACTTTTGACGTGACTAAATAGCCGATCAAACCAAACTCCGCTGTCCTATAAATAGAAATAATTTATAGTTTTTTCCTTTTTTTTTTTTAAAGATTAAGACTCGCAACGTTACTCTTAATGTTTCGACAGTAGAAGACCAGTGTGACTCCAAAAAATGACCACTTTTAATTTAAATCAAAATACCAAAGTCTGTCAAAGTAAAAAGCAGATCAAAGCTGAAGTTACTAAAGTAACACCACCAGTCACTGGACGTTGTTCCTGACAGTCAAGCAAAAATAGAAGAGATGGAATAGTGAACTGTTCAGAACACTAATAAATTATTCCTGTTTGACACGACATACGGCAACAAAGTGAGCTTTGGTCACCGGACATAGATAGCCTACAGGACCATCCTCACAATTCGCGCATACCAAATATTTGACACCATCGTGGGCATGCGTAAAACCAATATTTTCAAAATCGAACATTCTCTCAACCTGCCACCTACAAGAACATTTGCAAAGTTTCTACGTGTAACATTTAATATATCTCTTATTTACAAGGCCTGAAGATAACGACTACTAGTACTCTGCAGATATTAGTGAGACATATCCCTTATTGTAGCTTGAACAGAACATATCTTTTCACCTATCTCCCTTGAAATATATCATTTAATCCATTTTCTGATTAGGATTACCGAAAAAAAAACCATGCCTATACAAAACACTTGAGGTTGCTGGAAAATATATCACACGAAACGTCGGCAATGACAGTGGTACAATTTTTGATCCTAATGATTTGGATAGCAAATGTTAATTGTTTCAAATTATCTAAACGAAAAATCACTTCTTTTTATAACACATTAATTTTTCTAAGAGCTTTCTACCACAGGAATTTATACAGTTCAATGTTTTCCAAGACAACGGTATCGAAGCATGTTCCCACGAAAAACAAACCATGAATTGATGATTTCCGCGCTTATCGAAGTACTGTTTTGTGTCTGTCGACAGAACGGTAGAGAAAATGGCTTGGCATCCACAAAGGACGCAATATTAGGAGACAATATCGCACAATTACATTGCATGCAATGAATGGGAAGCGCGTTTCGATTATTGGCAGAAAGATTCTGAAATATCTAAGTCCAGAAAATCGGCAGTGATACCGGTTACTCTAAAGAAATTTGAAAAAAAAGGAGGAACAACCGCTAAATCTACCAGTGCAACTAAATGAAAGGGAAATGATACAAGATCACTATTATGAGCTGAATGAACGCTGTCCATTCCGAAACGAATTGATTAGACCGTCTTTCAGTGCAATCCGCCGATTCAAGTCAGCTATCTTTGCACGTTGGTAATTTTCGTTCCTAAAAAAGTGGCAATTTTCTCTCTATTTACACATTTTTTGTTGGAAGTTATAACACAGAAAAATAGAAGAACTTCAGAAAGGAAATCCCTAATACTTGTGCCTATTTTGATGATGACAGTGTTACTTCATGCAAAAAGTATTCGTTACGGGAAAAAAAAAATTGCGTCACTATACAACAACGCATGTATCATACCCAACTATATCAGAAGTAGAATCGATGGAATCTTTCAATTGTTCGAGTGATGCTTCCAAGTACCGTAGCTTTAACGCAATATCCGAACCGTTTCCCTTATCAGCTCTGTAACATAACAGCCGTTACTCGTTTATCAATCTATATCGAAATCTTAATGAGGACATTATGACAGAAAGTAGCGACAGTAATCAACGAATTTAAATGCTTCGAAATGTGGAACGAAAGCAGCTGAAATAAGATAAAGGGTTAAAACAGATTCAACTTCTTGTATGCTCTCGTGCTGGCCATTACTACACGTATAAATCTTGAAATATGTTTAAGATAAAGCCGTCAAATCATAGAATTCCCAAATATGTTTAGGATAAAGCCGTCAAGCCAATCCCATTCAAAAAATATGAAATAAACTAGAGAAATAACTTACAGAGCAATGAAGTTGTGAATGCTGTTGTAAATGTTATTTAAATTCTTCAGGGCAATGGTCCCATCCACGCTCATAATAGCCACATTTAGGAAGCTAAACCGGAGAATACATTTACTTCATCCGTCCAAGCTCATTATAAAACCAACAACAAACAACCAACCACGATTTAGGAAGACACCACGCTGAAGTGAACCGAACGTTCCTCATTAAGCATCATGCCTAGTAGTGCTCGAATTTTAAGCAGAATTGTTCGGATACAGTTAGACCTATACGAATGACATGCAGATTTGAGGTATGACGATCTGGTCGTCGTGTGGGAGTTATTGGAATGAGTAGACGAAGGCAAGAGTGGGGGGAAAGTTAGTGGCTGGGCTTACTTCGAAGAATGCTATTTATTTGTCTTTACGTCCGGGTGAACATATTTTTCAGGACATGTCTTATTTTCTTTTTTTATTGCACTAAAATACTTTCTAACGTTTTCTCATTTTAAATTGAGTATCTGTTCAAAAATGCTGAGTGATACATACTCTTGCAACAGCGTGAGTTCCCATTTAAGCACCCTTCTTTTTTCTGCACAATTGTTCTATTCTTTGAATTGACCCAAGCGAATCATCCTGGAGAATATTCTTCACGATTCCCAGTGATGTTTGATACCGGCAATCTGTTTTCCCGTTTTTCAATACACGCTGTTTGAGAGGTGCTTAGGGTGGACTATCAAATGAAATCAATGTTTTGTCGGAACAAGGTTGAGATGCATTTGAGAATGACTTGCTTGATAACTTAAACATTATAATATACCGAGCCAGTCATATAAAGATCGAACAGACTGCCTGTTTGAGTACTTTGCTTCTTTCGCCAGTTTCAATTTGCTCTTATTGAGCTTTAATCGTTGTTTGGCTTAGTTATCCATTTTTCAGCCATGTCGAAGCAGATAGGTCTTTTCGAAAAACTGGCAAATGCTGCCGGTCACATCTATCGCCATCATCTGACTCAGGTAATTAATAATTTATGGTGGTTTAATCGAGTGTTTAGTTATGTTGCTGCGAAGTGAAAGTTGAAAACTGCTGATTGCTTTTCAATTACAAGAAAAGATGAGGAAATGATCTTGTAAGTTGTATGACCTCATTTTTCTGATCACATTAACATCTTAGATGCTTAGGAAAAAGTGGATTTCGTGATAAGATCTTGGAAGTGGAATACAGACTACTATATTTAATGACTTCTGTGGGATTCCTAAGATTTTAACATTCTTACTTCGTTATTTTTTCTAAGCATCCTCGGCGAAAAGCGTTGTGGAAAGATTGTTGGCATAAAGAACTAAAACCACCAACATTGGAAGAGTGGCCAGCCGTCAAGAAAGATTTCAGGCAAATGATGGATGTTATTACAAGTAGATCATACACCCAATGGACCGTTATGGTAAATTATTGTTTGTCTTTTTCATATCATTCATCAGTAGAACAGAACTTGTTTAGGCAATTTAAAGGCTTTGTTTTAACAGGATTTTAGCAGTAAAGTGATCAAAAATGGGACTGCCTTTCTTGTTTTAAAGGGACCTCTCTTAGCATCATAAGGAAGTACTGTGCTTATTTGAGAACTCTGCATATTCTGAAATGTGATTTGTGCCACTTAACAATTTTATTAATTATCGTTATTGTCTGAGTCAAAACTAAATGGAATCCCAGTTGTCATCGAGATGCGTTATTTCAGTGCGTAAAAAGGAAACTGGGAATCAAAGTGATCCGTTAGAAAAAAATTTCGATTATTATCTGTGGTAATCAGACTCAATTTTTTATAGGATACGCTGGTGCGAACATGTGTTGCGGTGGAAATAATTTGTTGGTTTTTTGTTGGCGAAGCTATTGGACGTCGTTCATTTGCCGGCTATATTGTCCCAGCAAATTATGTTGACAAAAAGCTAGCGAGCATGGTGAAGAATCACAAAGATAACACTTACGACATTGCTCCGAAAGCCTGATGAACATCGCAGTTATTCCTTCTAATTTATTTTGGAAATATATATTCGTACAATTTTACAAAAAAGATTGAAAATTCAATAGTCTTTCTTAGTTACTCATAGATGTAAAGTACGTTAAGACATATTTAGCAGTCAAATACCTCGATTTTCATGCTTATATTAATAGATGCTTCCAGATTCCATATTTGGGAAAATCGGAAAGCCTAGATATTGAATTTTGATTGATGTTGGTATAATGTGCTGGGTTGTTTTGTTCTGATACATTGGATTTCAGCATAATTTGGTGTGGAAAAGTGGTAGTTTTCGTACGTTTGTTGTCGTTACATTCAAAAAAGGTTTCATGAGTATCCATAATCTGCGGAACATTCCCTATATTGCTGCATAATTTTGTTGCACTTGTCAAGATTCGTGAATTTTGGGGTATCCCTTTAAGGGGAAAATCCGACGAAGTTGAATATCGAACGTAGCGTTTTATCAAAATTGCCTGAAAAATAAGGACTAATATACTCTGTTATTTGATCATGACTGTGCTACCGCAGACTCATCTTGTGAGGGTTTGCGTTACTGTGAAATTGTGTCTGGAACAAATTTAATTGCATCTTATTTTAAGAATGTATAGTTATTAGTACGGCACTATCGTGTTAGCAGGCTGCTTATTGGTTATCAGCCATTAATGGTAGTCTTCTGGATCGAGTGCATTCTTCGAGAGAAATAATAGTAAGACTGATAAAAGTAGAAGTGAAGCAAAATGAAGTGTTGAAACAGAAAAAAGAATAAAAGTAAAGAAAAATGACATCAAGTATGTACCATTTCAAACGGAAACATTGTTATAATTAAACTGTCACGTGGCATAAACTGCGAACTGATCTTCTAAAAAAAAAAAAAAACTCTAGAAAGGCATCGAGACCAGACTTTTCATTTATTAACGTTTCTAGTCTATTCCATCGTAATATCTTTAGCATATTTTCAGGTCCTACGACATAGATCTTTTGTAACGACATTTACTCATTATTTCATTAATTCTCTGGGTTCGTCCTTCTCATCCCACACAGATTTATTGAAACCAATCATAGGTCGATCATCGGATTTATATACTTCGGTCAGAAGTTCAATAGTTAAGTCCTTTTCGCAGTGAACAGTTATGTTCCTGGCCCAGCTTGTACTTCATACTGTCATTATTGTCTCCAACTCCCCCTTTGATTTCAATTATTGTGTGGGTTCTGACGGTATATCCTGCCACTGTTAATTGATCCATACAGATGGAGGTTGCTACATGCCACTCTAGTCCTTTGACCGCTTATCTTCTTAACAGTGTCACATCATTATCCAATTCTCATCAAACCGGGGTGCCTAACTCGCCAAAAACTAACAATAGCGGTATTTGGTGTTCAAGATGGCAATCGGTTAGTAATGGTTTAGATTAATTTTAGATTCAAGTCAATCCGAAAAGTCTTGCCCATTCCAGACAGAAGTGGTCCAACCACCACACGAAACCCAGCGTCATTTTGAGTCATCGTAATTGCACAGCGTGGTTGCAGCTCGTGCAGTTCATATTTACATTTCGCCACATGCTTCATGAATACACTGCGATTGGAGGAGGTCGAAGGTAGGCGGTGTTGCATAAATGCAAGGTGCAAAGGGTATGTAAGGTGTGGTGCGGTCGATCGGGCAGCTTTTCTTATGGATATAGTGTGTACGTATGATTAAATGTTGAACGATGTGGTCCTTGTCCCTCTTGAATCAGACTTATGGTAGTATGATCAATCATTTTGTTACTAATTATTTCGTTGGTCGAAATTTCGATCTATACACTGATTAACGTTAGCCCTTCCACATTCCATGGAACTGTTCTGCTTACTTGCTTGAATCTTCGGGAAATATATTCACTGCAGAACTTCCATACTTTAATGAGTTATTCCTGTTAACCTTTCCTGGAAAGTTTTAGATTCTTCTTCTGTAAATGCTTTGAAATGATGTAAAAAATATTCGTGTACTAACCTTGTAGTTTTACGAATTATACGGTAATTCTGGGTTTGTTTTCGTATATATCAGTGATTTTAGATGAGGTGGGAACTGTTGGCATTTTTAATGTTATATGTAAATATCGTATGTGGAGAGGATACAGATATTAATGACTCCGCACACATTGTTGCATCAAAATTTACGCTGTCTCAATATGCAGTTGAAGGGATGGATTATGTTATTGATTATCGCCTTTACAATGTTGGTGAGAAGGTAAGAGATATTAGATTTAATAGTAACTTTATTCATTAAGCTCCCACAATACTAATATTAACTGAACGTTTCTATTAGATTATTTAACCATTTCCAAATAAGAACAGAGTCTAAAGGTCAAATTTGCATTACCTGCCGTTTTGCAGGCATTTGTTTTTTGCCTTTTGAAATTGAAGTTGTATTTAGATGAGTTCAACAAATTTAGTCGCAAGAAGCAAATGAGTGATAGTTTGCTTGTTAAATAAGTTTTTCAGGCTGCCTTGCGTGTAACATTAGATGATCGAGATGGTTTCCCCACACAAGCTTTTGATGTTATACGAGGCCTTTTACAGGTAATTTAGTTCTGCATTGGATTTTGTTGACATACAGACATTCCTAACAATTTTAATTGTCTTCGGGTTTTAAATTACACCATTTTCCGAAAAATTAGCTGGTGTATAAAGAAATTTGGTTTTCAAATTTCAGGTACGCTGGGAAAGGATAGGTCCCGGCAATAATGTGTCACATTCAGTAGTGGTGCGTCCACGAGCTGTTGGTGCATTTAATTATTCATCCGCTCAGATAACATACTATCCAACTGAAGATGCGAAGGAAGTGCGCGTTAGCTACACAACTGCTCCAGGCGAAGGTCTTTTAGTTTTTATTTGGTTAGGAGTGATATATTTTAAAGTTGAAACGCTTATTTCACATTTTTTAGCTTGTTATAATTTACTGTTCGAGTTATTACAAAGATTCGTATTTTTACTCACTGCAACGGTAAAGTGCCCAGCATGATTCACCACCAATAAAGTCGAATTATGATACACGAGTAGGTAATGCACGTTACGGAGAAATATAAAACTTGTTGGTATAGAAAGGATTCTTTAAAACTGAAGTATATCCTCAGGATATATTTATCGACGTAAAGATTATGACCGGAAGTTTTCTGCAAAAGTGGGTGTATGGTTGATATTTTTGATGTTGGTCGCACCATCAACAATTATTCCATTTGCACTGTGGTACAAAAGTAAAGCGAAGTATGATCAGGAAACTCCGTCGAAGAAAAGCAAATGAATTTTGCATTGTTATTGCAACTTACTTCATTATTAATGTCACAAGAAGCTTCTGGAAATCAGTCTGTTAACAGTTTTTTGTTTTTGTTTTTGTTTTTTTTAATAGTAGCAAAAATAAGAGCGATAACGGGATTTTTATCGAATAACATTATAATAGATGGAAGAGCATATAAGCTTCTAAACAAAGGAATTGTTTGGTGTTAAAATCATAGAATTTCTAATGGAATTTACCTGTCTTGTCGCGTTTGCTATGAAAAATTAAATTTTGAGAATTTTTTTCAGAACTTCCAGTTAGTGCTTTAACTAATTTGTTCAGTGATTGCTCACTGCAGGGAAATAAGGAAGTGGTTTTATTTTATTTTAGAGCAAATCACGTTTTTGGTAGTGGTCGGTTTAGTATCCAAATGAATCGAACAGCTATTTGTTGGAACAGTATCCTCACAGTTTTATCTTTGTGCTTATCTGAATAGCTGTGTTTTACAACTAAAATTCAGCCCTCAGCAAGTATTACATCGAAAACAGCGGAATTGTTGTATTGTTGCTCTTCATACTTTTTGTTTTTATATAATTTATCGTGTCTGTATTTCATTTTTTTTTTATCATTCTTTCCTTTTTAGCATTAAACTGCTTCATGTCATTGTGATATAAGTTTAAGTATGATTTGTATGAAGTTCTGATATTATGACTAATGTTTTTCTCTCAATCATTTTGTTTTTATGGCTTTAATGGGTTACAGGTGAGGTTTATATAATGTGTAACTGTGTAATAACTTCGTTTTCTCATGTTATTTGCAATGTTCAAGATAAAAAAAGAAAAAAAACTGAATAGACAAACTTCACTTCTTGCTGTGGGGAAATGCACGCATCTTATGGAACAATTTTGATTTTTAGTACGTTGTGCGGGTCTTCCAAACATAAATTAGAAGACTGGGGTATTAATGCAGATTAATGCAGCTGTACGCATTGTCAGATAGTAACACTGGGAACAGATCTGTCAAAATTGAGTTGTCGAGTTAAATTTCACTTTATGTCTGGTTAGCTGCTTTACTTTGCGACCTTCCACCGGGTATACTACAGGTCGAAATTGTGTGAGCGCAGTGGTTTGAAGACTACAGCTGAAGGAGGCTTATGCGAACTCTAGCATCATTTCCTTAATCCCACTTCTCAAGCTATGGAAACTGCAAAGTCAACCATGGTTTGATAATTCTGGAGCTTGACTGATTTTGAGACCCCAGCTCAAATTCGACAGTAGGTTAGAAACTATGAGACTAGTTTATGATGGCGTGAGGATTGGTTTTCCATATTAGATGAAAAGTGCCCATTTTATATGAAGGAGCTGAATGTTTGTTGATCGACGTTGTCTGTTGCACGACACGAGTTGTGGGTTTTTGTTCCTTGAACTAACACAATCCCCACATCTTAAACTATGAATTTTGTTTACTTTAAACGTAAAACAAGCCCGATATCTGTGTTATCGTTGACATTGGTAACGGGCCGCAACCATTTCCTCGAACACCTCGATTGTGTATTACCAACGATTCCTTTTCTGTTCCTTCAAAGTTGCACTTAAATTTTGGCTACATTACTTACAATCACTTGCTAAATCAGTTGTAAATCCTTAGTTCAAAGCAAATGAAAATAGTATGCTGTGTTATAAGGTGGAAAGGCCGAGTGTTTCTCATAATTAATAAAAAAAATAATAAACTTTATTTCAAGACTACTTTAACTTTATACTGTTTAGAAACTTTCAATTTATTTAAATTCATTCAAGTTTTTCATTTTTTATGTAAACCAAAGGGAACAATTCCATAAACTCAGGTAGAAATCGAGATTTAACAATGTTTGTTTTGATTAAATTTTTTCATTTGTAATTATATATTAAGAGTTAAAAATTGAAAATTAAAAGTTCTTTTAAAAGTTCCCAAATAATAAACAACTAAATTAACTATATCGAATAGTATGTTTTACAGTCCCCCGTAATCTTTCCTCATTTCATTCCACTCCTATTCCTGGTTATTATCTGATCATCTGTGCAAGTTTCTGAAATTTCGGATGAAATAATGGATGGAGTGATTTAAAGCACCCCGACGTGAATAGAAAAAATAAGGTATGATGCACTGTAGCTGCTACAGTTCCATCACTTTTTTACAGATAATAGCTAATATTGTCACGCGGTTGAATTGTGAAATATTTTTTTTTCACATTACAACTACCTCACAACTGCCCGTTATAGAATGTTTCATTAAGATATATCAATCGTATTTGCAGACAGCGTAGACGCATGATTTTTCTTAAAATTAACTCATATATCATTATATATGTAACAATTTTACATATATCTGTAGCTGCAATGAACGATTTGGATGATTTAAAGGTTGGTTGTAATGCATTAGTTGTAATGCATCGATTTCAAAAACGTTGAACGAAAAAGATTTGTATCAAAAGCATTATCTATGGCCAAAATTTGACGTTACATATAGTCCATTTAATTCTATAAGAAATGGAACTATGATTTAGCGAATTTAAAGAACTACAATTTAAGCTTATGGTTTTTACATTCTGGATCGTTTTAGAAAAAAATGCACTATTTATTTCAATTGTAGTATTTTGATCGTCGGAAAGCTGATTCTGAGACATTCTTGATACCGTCCGATTTCGCAATGGCTTCAGAGCTTGATGATGTCTGGCGGAACAGCGATGATTGGGCCCTTTATAGTAGTGGCAAATTTGAGGGTGATATGGATATAAACATCATTGAATTGGCAAATGTGAGCTCTTTTTTTGAGTCGATTTTAACATTGCAATTTTTGAACTTCTGTTTGGAAGCATCTGTGTCGCTAGCTCGGTTTTTATGGCTTTCCGGCATAATCATAACTAAAAAACATATTATGTATTTTTAAAACGGTATTCTTGTTGAATGATTGTTTCATTATATGCCCCTTCTATTTAACAGACTAAATTCAGCTCTGCAGTGCTCATTAGATAATGTAAACAAAGTGACTTTTTACTTTTTGCACATAATTTTACGACTTGTCATCGTCACGTATCTCAGATTTATCCAAACATTGATAACGACGACACAAATCCGCAAAACAATATACTGTACAACGCGGTACGAAATCGACACCAATTGTGGCCTAATTCACGAATACCGTATGCCATGAGTAGCCAGTACAGTCCATATAGGTGACACCTTTCGTCAATTTTTAAAACTGATAACTGAAAAGTATAAAAATCCTTGTACTTGATCTTCAACCAGCAGTAAAAAGTTCAACAATTCGTTGGATGTCATAAAATTTGCAAAGTTAATTGAGAACTCACACTATTCTGCAATTAATTTTTATACTCCTCATTACGCAAAAAAAATTTGTGATGTATTGGTGTGGTTTCAGGATGCTTTGAAGAACGTTTTCCTTATGTGTTACATATTTTTGCAGCATATGAAGGCCATAAAAAAGGGAATTTCATTCTTCATGAAATAAGATTAGGTTCTGCAGACAGATTATCATCTTGAATCCTATTCACCACAAGAAATAATATAAATGGGATGTAATGTGATATGTATGGGTGATATTTTGCAGTCGTTCAGTAATAGCAGCTGCAATGCAGGAGTATACACAACGTACATGTGTTCGTTGGGTACCACGATCTATTGAAGATTATGATTATATCTACATAGTGCCCGATCGAGGATGCTATTCAATGGTTGGCAAAACTGGTAAATAACTTTTCTTACAACTACGTCCTTCATTCATTTAATTGACATCCCTAGTTGTTCTGAGAATTTGTTTCACTTATTTATCCATTTCTTGTCATGCATGATGTCACGATATAAACTTCGAATTCTGACTACAATCATGTAATAAACTGGATGTCGTCGAAGTACGAGGCGAAAACTAAATTTAAAACATTTTCCTTGTGCTGCAAGTTTAATTATTTTTAACAGAAATTTCCTAAATTTACTGATTAGGTGGTAGACAAACGGTATCGCTCGGTACAGGGTGCATACAAAAGGGCATCATAATGCATGAACTGATGCACGCGGTTGGGTTTTTCCATGAACAATCCAGAACTGATCGAGATAAACACATAACAATACTCTGGGGAAATATACAACCTGGAATGCAGGGTTAGTTCTTCTGGTAGTACATTTCAACTGACTACTCTTGTGACAAATGTAATGAACTTTTACGTGCATGTCCCAATTCCACTGCCATAGCCATATTTCTTTCATCTATTTAGGATTTTTTTTGGTTCATTAAAATTCAACATTTTTTCCCAACGCTTATTTGCAGGGCAATTTGAAAAATACGATCACGGTATGATCGATTCACTTGGCGCTGATTATGATTACGATTCGATTATGCACTACGGATCGCGAGCATTTAGCCGCAATGGTCAACCAACATTACTGCCGAAAATTCCTGTTGCTATTGGTCAACGAATACATTTCAGCACACTCGATATATTCAAAATTAATAAACTTTACAATTGTCCACTCCGTGACTATTTGAAATTCTTTACCTTTTTCTTATCATATATTGACTTAACGATATTAGGGAAGTGAAAAAGAAAGTTTTGGCATACAGATGATACAAGCACTAAGATGATGACTGTAAGCATATCAATATTTCAGTACAAGACTTAGGATTTAAAGAGTCACCATTTCACCAGTAGTTTAGCTCATTTTCCCTGAATTAGTAAATTCTCAGTCTTAATAACTTCAGGTACGACTGAAATGCAGAGACTAGCGGAAACCCCAGCTTCTAAAACCAATGAAAGTCGGAAACCCACAAATGCATCCACACTTCTGACCATCACTGAATCTTGCAAAAACATTCGTTTGGATTGCGACGAACTCGTCAACTATGGTAATTGTGAGTTATGAATTCCTGAAATCGCTCGCCACGATATGATTTGGAAGTTTCACTCACTGAAGACATGATTTTTGAAAATGTTTTAGGCTACGGTGTTAACATTAGTTTTTTCCTGTTAATGTACTTTCTTCAATAAGTCTACAACTATCACCCCCTTTCTGCGCGTGTCAATCGGCGCACTATTCCAGATATTCAATTTTTCATGATACTCCATTGTTACTGTTCAGGATGGTGTACAGGTAACCCACGATGGATGAAACATTACTGCCCGAAGAGCTGCAGCATGTGCAGCAATTCCACAGGTGCGCTAATTAACACACTACTAAAATATATTGAAATCTTCTTCATTTGGGGTACCTAGGTTCACTATTTCTTTAAATAAAGAATCAATTGACTATACATTTCAGTTCAGCCATGTGTGGATCAACGGCCAGACTGTTTTACACTTGTGCAAAATGGCTACTGCACAATTTCGAACGCATTTATGCAGGCTTTCTGCCCCGAATCATGTGGTTTTTGCAAACTAGTAGAAGTACTAAGCAACGAAACAGTGACAACAAAATTATCAATTACAGGTACAGTAATAACACCTACAACAGAGGCAACAACGAGGAAATTCAACAGGTGGGCTTGGAATGAAAAGAACGGGACATTTTTGTCCTTTTCCATTATTCATTAACTTCCTAGTTTTTACGCCTCCACAGAGTAAATACCTGACCAGGACTTTCCAGCCGTTTGCTGATAGTACATAACGACTTTCATGGATTTCCATGAAGGCTTATCAATCAGCTTATAATCTTTCGTATTCTCGTGATTCACTAGAATTTCCGAATGTAGGTACTGTCATGATTCCAAATACCAAGGCTCAATTTCTGCAATTGAAGTCCCGAGTCGCTCAGATTTGCATTACCATTTCATTGACTGAATGTCCATATAAATTAAGACTTGAAAATCACAGACTGAAACAATCGTTTGGAACCGCATGGAGAAGGCTCATCAATTCAAAAATAAATCCTGCTGAAATATCTTCTGCGCAAAAAACGTGCAGTGACCGGAAACGTTTCTGCACTCATTGGAAAAATGTTGGATTCTGCAAAGGATTGTTTTCCAGTTTTATGCTGGAAAACTGTCAGCGGTCATGTAAAATATGCACCGACGAAGATGATGATAAATTTTCCGAGTAAATGAAACACTTGTCATGGCTCATTAAAAAGCCATACGGACCTTGATTTCAAATATTAAAACAAATTAAGTGTTAGAATATAGCTTCTCTTACTATTACCCTAATCGTAACACTATGCATAAGGAAGTTCAACTGCAAAAAAATAACAGTATAAAATTTGTTTTCAAGGGATTCGAACTGTTATCAGGAAAGAGAAAAACTGTTGGTAAACAATGAAGGAATCCGACCGTAGCAAATACTGTGTTTCTCCGGAAGTGATCATAATCCAAATATATTGTAGCATTAATCCACAGAGATATTTTCCTCTTCCGATGTAGGGATATCAGGTATACACTGAAAACAGTTCATTTCCAGCACAACTTTTGTAAACCCAACTTGTGCAATCAGACAATTTAGCTGACATCATGAGTTCCTTCTAAAAAACGTTCAAAGGCTGTGTTTGATTTGCAGTCGTTGAGAAACCCTGACAACTTCTGTATGGAATACAATGAAAACAAACTTACAAAGAATTCAAGAAAGATATGATGGTTTTCATTATGCTCCACCATAAATTGTATAGACAGTATGCCTCGGTGATCAATACGGAGAGACAACTAAAAGAAGACATACGATAAAATATTTCTTCATAAAATTTATCGAGTCAATGCTTTTTACAAAAACTCAAGTGATTATAACCTTATACTAAGGTATCTTCACCTTACTGCAGATATCTAACGAGGAAGTCATTCGCTTTACTAGACTCAGCCTATAGGCAAACTCGACATGCTGTTTACATTCCAATCGTTCGATTTGCTCAGAATAATGTGGAAACTTCGTCTGCAAATAAGCATGGGTTCAATTTGCTTCGACAAGTAAAACATTGAAAAATATGGCATAAGAAGTCGGACAATCTGGATCCACATAAAACTGCTTCAAGTAGATAACGAAAAATCACCGTAGAGTCGCAAGACCTGCAACACAAAATAGACCTAAAAACGATATTCAAGTGTAAGGTGAACCTTGATTGTACCCAGATCTCCTTCTGTGATTACACTCAATGAAAATCGGTCAATTCTGAAACCAACGGATGGGCTGCTCTGATCAAGCTCGTGAAATGTTTCTTTCAGCATCCATGGTTTCATTATAACCTTTGCAGCAACACTGGCAGGATTGAAATCAAAATCAAGTACCTAAATTCTCGCACTAACATCAGCAATATCTTTCAGTTTTTGTTTCAGTTTAACAAATTCATCAAAAAAAAAAAAAACTAGGAAATCACTTACCACATCTGGATTTTGGGTTTTGATTAAACATCTTGCAACAGTTCCATCCTTTTCGAGCATGACTTTGAGAGGTTCACCGTAACCATCGTAAGTCATTTTCAGAACTGTACTGACTCCAGCACCAAAAGCGCTCAAGCATTCCTGCAAATAAAAAAGGGAAGGGTAGTTGTAACACAGTAACTCGATATTTTATACTTCTTGCGTCTGTGAAAAATTGATAATTTGTAGGAAAATAGTAAGGTGGTGAAAATCGAGAAGCATAACAGAATGAAAAAGCATGTCATGAAGTAGACAAAAATAACCGTGAAAATATAGAGAGGTATGCGAAACGTTACAACATCTTCATTTAGAATGAACTCAGTAAATAAATCGCTTTTAAAGTAAGCTATTCCTTGAACACAATTCTGATCATCCACAACAATTCGCAAACCATTCTTGCTAATATCGATAACACAATTCTAAAAGAATACTTGAATTTACACGAATAGTCCTGAAAAAACGATCAATATCTAATCCAGCTACTGTTCGAATTAAATTTCGGTTTTTGTATAACTAGTAGATAGGTGAAACGACTAACTGCGTTGCAGGCTTTTTCCACAAAGCTCAAGAAAACCCATGTAAACATACAGTCATATTTTCAATACAATCAGAACTTTCAATACGACAAAGACTGGTAAAAGATGGCAGGAGGATGGCAACGCTACCGATAGTTGTACTCACAGATTAATTCTGTTTAAATCAGTTTATTTTAGTGAAATCGCAGTATAGCAAAGCAAAGAAACAATTTAAGTTAACAGTCCTCTTAAACTAGTATGCGTTAACTTGTAAATGCATAATTTCTGTCTGCCGCATAAAATCCCATTATGCTTACCTACATCAGCATGTGGGAGGCGTGAATCATGGAAGGCACATACATATTCTCAATTCTCTGTGCTCTTACAGAGGTTCCTAAGGAATAAATAACCAACTATCTCCTTCAAGTTTCAAGTAATTTCAGGTTTGTTGAGAAACCTGTAGAAAGACGGAGCTCATGGTGATTGGGGGCGTTTTATAACGACTTTCATTTGAATGAGTAACGCGAAGAATTGTTTTAAATGGAAGAGGTTTTCAAAAACTATTACTAATAATTTCGCTTTTTGAATTCTTATATATTCTTCTCGAGGCACATACATGCAAACCTCAGAAATCGTCCAGTGTATGCTTTCCCACGGCTAGTGGTAACACTTAAATTCAGAGTTGCATAACTAAATGAAACCAAAGCTCATATAAAACAGGGCTACATAGTTTCCTTAGGATACCTTTTCTAATATAGGAAAAGATCGCCAAATGTTTCAAAAAATCATACAATATTTCTCGTGGTTATAAAAAAAAGTATTAGATACTTTGTGCTTAGGGATTTAAAAATAGGGAAGGCAGTGCCAAAATAAGTCCAATCAGACTATCTTATTGAGGGAAGGAGAGCAAAATTAGCATTTATGGAATTAGCAGTTCTACAATTTTCGAAACAATTATTGACAACAGTGAACTATGGAAAGAGATAACAACATAAGTATGGAATATCCCTTCTTGAAGAAGCTCAAAAGGCATCTTGACAATTACAGCTGTTGAAAGCACTTGGTCAGAAAATTAGAAAATAGAAATCTGGAAGTGCATAGAAGGAAATTGCTGATGCATCATGTAACTAAGTTTGAAGAAAGTGAACACCGAGGGATCTGGCATGAACAGCCTTCCATATGAAAGATAGAAAGCCGTTGGTAAGGAAAAAGAACTTGTCAAAATCGAAGCAGACGAAATATATAAGGCTTCCATCGTTAGATTAGTTTAAGCTTAGCTGACAGCATACTTAATGAATGAGAGGAGATGAAGACCACACTTTTACGAACGTCAGAAAATTAGTGAATGAAATACAAAGTATTTGTCCTCCTCTCCGATTCGCATATTACTATAGAAGTGTGAATGTTGCTTTGTTATATCATCTTTTCATTATATTGGGAAAAGAGTTAAATGATTAGAAGCAGGAACAACAACTGTAAAAACCTCAATCACGTGCTGTTAAAAAAAGACATTTTATAGGAACTGAGAGCAAGAAGCACAATTTGTCTACACGGCTAGGACTTCAATACGATAATTATGTCAGCTTATACTAGAAGTAATTGTTCATTACCACTTCCAACCACATATTTTGCCAAGAAAAGTTCTGCGAATTAGAAATTTTATCGATTGACCCATAAAAAAAAAGTTTTAACCCGCTTTTTCAAAACTATGCCATCAACATGGCCTACGAATGTAAGAAGCGGTCAATGAAAATAGGATTGAGAATACAAATAATCTTAGATAACTCAGTGGCACTAAAAACATTGCACTGAAAATCTGAACAATCTTAGTTTTTACAAATATGTTGTCTGCATTTACACTATCTGCTTTATAACAACCAAGAGTACCACCTCTCGAAAATCGAGTGCCCTCAATGCTTGATGGAGATCACGAGCATCTTCTAATTTCAATAGGACCAGTGTCTGTTCAGGTGCCACTCCATCAAGCACAAGTGTCATCATAAACCAAATTTTTTTCTATTCTGAAATAAACCACTAATGAAACGAGGACGATTTTCACGCTTTAAGTACTAAACAAGTTACTAACACTAAGACATTTCTCATTCTGTAATGACAAAACAGCAAAGGTTAGATCGCCCTCCAGTCTGAGTACCTCGAAAAACCCACAAGTAGTTACATTTAGACATTATCAAACATGAAGCATTAAACATGAAACATCTCTTGTTTTCAAATTCGCAACCATCTTTTAATGTAATGCCTCATGTTTTCGAATTTCTCAAAGTAACAAGCACACAAATTTTTTCTACAGTAAAAATAACAAATAATACCGGTTGTTTGAAAAACATATCTTGTAACTTATGTTTCTAATTCAGATGTTTCTCGTCACTTCTTTTGATCGGGAACAATAAATTTCACACAAGGAACCGTACGAATTTTCGCGCCGGAAGTGGTCCGTCGTTCAATGGACGATAGTCCAACGGTTTTGGAGCCTTCAGCTTTGGAGTGTGCTTATTGTCGGGTGGCGTAGTTATTTAAAAAGGGAGCAGGTTTTCGTTATCGGAATATCCAGTTTGATTTGTAGAGCTGAAGAACGAAAATTTAAGACTTGATATACTGCGTACCTATGCCAAAGCAAAGTAACCTCACATACATTACCGAAATGTAAGAAAATGTTATATGTTCAATGACTTACGTAAGTCGGATATAACCTTGCACACATCCTCACTCTCTTAACTTGGCTCGTTAAAGTTACTTTTACTGAACAGAATTTTCGAACACTAACAATTCCAGTTTTTATATTTTATCCCCTTCATTTTCAAATATTTGTCTTCATTGACGTAATTTACCATGTTGGAAATGACAAGTGCTTTGTGCAGAAATATCAGCAACATGTCTTAGACTAAAGTAGTCAGGATAAACTGTATCCACGAGCCGGATGTTAAGTAATAAATATGAGACAATGTGTCTTTTCAGCCTTTACTGTACTATAATTGTATGGTGTTACAACATTTGAAAAGCCATAAAAGCTAGTCCCCATAAGCTTCTCAGAAATGATGTTTAGTTAGTACTGTTTTGGGGTACATTAAACGGACAGTAATTTTGCGACGAGGAGATTGCAAAACATTTTCCTCAGGACCAGATATTAGAATGCAAATGAACAAATAAGAATGGTTGAATACTGAAGGAAGGCTACGATTTAGTCTTTGCAGCACGAAGTGCAACAGCAATAGACAAATGTATTGGTAGTTGAGTGAATTCCTCTATAATTTAGTGACAAGAACAAACTGACCAGTGCCCAAGAAATACCGCATTGTACGATAATTACTATTCATACCAGCCAATGACGATACACATCACGAAAGGTCCCTACGCAGAGTATATGAACTTTATATAATCTCTTCTCTAAGGCAATGCACAAACTTTTCGCTATCGCACGCTTCTCTACGACTCTCTCGCCAATCATTCGCTCAAAGCCACACCCCACCGCACTCCTTCGTCTGCCAGTCTCCACGATCGACGCACTACGTCAAAGTTATCGACCGTTTCAGTAACCAATACCTATTGACTACACATTTAGACAAATGTTTATTTCTGTGTATAATATCATCACATCGCGACTGATGCATGCTTTTACCGCCTCCCTCAATTTGTTTTCTTGAAATACCTGCAATTAGCAGACAAACAAAAAACCAGAGTCCTTGAATGAGAATTGGCTTTAGTGACGGGATGAAGAATACGGATGAGGACGCATCCCGCTGAAGTTGCGTACGAATACTGAACTAAGGAAGACTGCGAGATATGTATGACCTAAGCTCGACCTTTCATGGCACTACCCCTTTATCGGCAAATATTCGAGAGTAGTGAGTGCAGGCAGATGCAGAGCGCAATTGCACCTTTCTGCAGGACACACTGCTAACAAAGCCCCTTCCTCCTATGACATTATTTAAGCACGTAGAGGAGAGCGGTACTCTTCACTGCTCTTTCTCCGTCTCGTTCAACAAAACTGGTATCCCTTCTCTACACGCCAGAAGAAGAAATGAAGAGAAGAACAGCGAGGGTCGTGCAGGTTGCAGAGAGCAGGAGGGCCAGAACCGGAGCTGCCAGCAAATTCGATAGCGTCGAATGGGCGCAATATTTGCAATGCTTGCTATCGTTTTTCTGCTCCTGCTGCTCGTGAATTTGTGTCGCGTGAAATTTGTGATCGCTAGTTGTTTCTTGCAGTTTTTGAATGCATCCCGTATCTCTTCTTGGCTACGTTTTGTTTGATATTTCTCGGTATTTTATTGCGGAAACATCCTAAGAATAACAATAGCTTCAGGGTTGGTGATGCATGAAGTGATGCTATAATAAAGAAGCACACTGCATTCATTTCCTTGCAATATTGGTTGTTTTGTTACATTCATTGTGCAAGGTTGCTCGCATCTTACTACGTATATTTCGGTTCATCTTTATGATTATACGTCCTTGTCTTTCATATGTCGAGCGACATTGTTCGTTTCAGAGTTGTTTCAGTCTGAATTGTGTTGTCATCCTTATGTTCGTGATGATAATTGTTATCAGCGACTCTCCCTCATTATTTTAAATCCTTCAAAACCTTCACTCTTTTGCACTTCATTTGTCACATTTGGAATATTAAATGCTTTCTTCATATTCAGTGATTATTTTCATTTTCATTGCAACATTTCTTACGTTTTTTAACTAGATTGTGCACTTTCAGCTGTCCATTTGTTTTTTGTCTAGTGTAGTGATTTTTTAAGTACATTCTTTTCCAGAAATTTTTGTCCGCTTGATGTAAAGCTTCTGGTTAACAATCTACTATGTCTCATGGTAAGTTTCAAAGTTATGTCTCTAATTTTCACTTAGTCGGACTTGACCTCCAGATTACCGAAGTACTAACTACTATGTAAAATTAAAGTAATTATGGTACACTATTATTACTGCAGTTTCAGATTTAACTTGCGATGAGACAATGCCATCTGTCGATGAAGTGGAAAGAGTGAGTTTAACTCATTTTAACTTACACTGTACACAGCTCTGCTTATGTAGAGAGATTAAGCTGTTTGTATCGAAGTCTCTAAATATTTTATTTTTCCAATTTCAAGAGAGATGGTCGACGCTTCTTCCAACAGTCAGTTAATGTTCCTATAGCTCGAATTGCTCCAGTTTTACCGAGTATTGCTTTACAGCAAAATTCACGTCAGTTTGTCAAGGTTTGTCCCTGCATTTCCAGAAGTGCAGTAATATCACAAATTTTTCGTTTCTTTATCATATGTATTTCCCAGTGTGTGTTATTTACTGTATGAAGTTTGCTGGATAACTATTCTTATTTGCAGACTTACATAAGAAGCCAGGCAAATGCGCCATTTCCAGCAGGTTCAAATGGTAGTCAAAAAATAGTACATTATGGAACAACATCAGTTTCTTCTATTCCACAATGCGCCGCTGCTGTTCCTGGTCGTTCTAAACTGGTTACCATACGTCCAGTTGGAGCAGGCCATTCCTTATTAAAATCATGTTAGTTTGTGGGATGAATTGATTTCCTGAGTTCATAATGAGGTTCTGTTGAACATATGTCCAGTTCATTTCTGCCCTCAATTTGAAGAAAAACTTGCAGCATCGAGTTTCAGTACAGCAAGCTAACCGTAACGTGCTGTCGTTTTTTTTTGTTTTTTTTCTAACACAAGCATACCTAGACCATTCTCTGATGCTTTAGAAATTTTTAAATAGCTGTCAGTTTGAATATTTTAGTGGTAGTATCATCAGTAATGACAGGGAGAACTGTCATTACACGGTTTGATATCATACTAGTGTACATCCTGTACCTATTCGACCCATTCATCAATTTTTTCTGGACTAAATAATGTTTATTTTCAGATGATATTGCCCAGCTAAGTGGTAGCCCTATGACGACAGTGTATCTTCAACAGCAACATAATTTACATTTAGCGAGTGCACAGCAACCTGTTCTTTCCTTATCGCCGTCGCGTGCTCGGGAATTGGAGGAATCACGCGTTGTTCGATCTTCTCCAGCTGCTTTCACAAACTGTGGGAACACTGATTCACGGTATAATATTCTGCTCGAGATTGATAATTTGGAATATTCCTTTTATAATTTATATTAAGGTCCATTCATTTGAATC